AGTGTGAGGCAACCAAATCTACAGGAAGAATGAACTGTGGGCAGTTAAGCTACCCATAACATTGTAGTACTTTTATCAGTTGGCTTAGAATATTAAAAACAGTCATTGCTTATTGCAGCATGTACCACTGTTGCTCTTTTTGTCTTGAACTTCATCTGTCTGCCTTCAGTGTTTTATGTAATCTCCACCCTGAACATATTTCTATTTTTTTATGAGGTATAATAAAACCAAGAACTCCTTTTTGTTCCGGCTTTTCATTTCCAGTGGAATCTAGATATGTTGTCTACTTTAAAACATCAAGATGGGAGACAGCTATTGCATTTTAGATCTGAAAAGAATTTAGGGATGAATGAAGTGAACAAATAAACTGGATTAAAAGCCCAAGTATGAAAATTAGTAGTTAGGATAAACTGAGCAATAGTGGCCTGAAGTTATTCTTAGACAGCAGCTATTCATTACATGCAGTCTGCAAACCGTGTTATTTGTAAAAAGTGCATTTTAAAAGAGAACAAGACTAGACTCTGGAAACTCTTCTAATCACATGGAAAAGGGAAGGGAAGGGAAGGGAAGGGAAGGGAAGGGAAGGGAAGGGAAGGGAAGGGAAGGGAAGGGAAGGGAAGGGAAGGGAAGGGAAGGGAAGGGAAGGGAAGGGAAGGGAAGGGAAGGGAAGGGAAGGGAAGGGAAGGGAAGGGAAGGGAGGACGGGAGGAAAGGCTTCAGCCAATTTAACACAGATTTTGAAAAAACAAAAAACTGATTTGAAACTTCGTTTTTGCTCAAACAGAATGTTAGTTGTAAAACTCTATTGTCGACATATGCTTATCTAGTTTTTTTCCCCCATTTTGTTTTGCAATATAATTTACATAATCACTACTGTTACTATTATTCAAATATGCAATTACAAAAATCTAGGTATTCTGGGTTATAATGAGTATCAACCCTTCAGAATGCAGTAATTTACATAATTACTATAAATGCATCATCAGTAACTAAACTGCATATCTTATCTTTCAGCTCCTATAATCTTCTCTCTTACTTTAACTGGTTCCTATTTTTACACTACTCAAGAAGATTTTCAGTAATAACAAGGCTGCATTGACTTCATTTAACTTTGGATTTTTTTGAACAAAGCAGAAAAATAAATTATTACAGGAGGACCATGCAACTCAGGGGCCATGTCTCTCTAGATGCAATTTTTAAAAAGTGTACATTAACTACTCTAGCCAAAGTGCTTTTGGGCTTTCATCTACAGAAGAAAGATCTTGCTGTACTTTTGAGGAAGAAAAGAAATGTAAGGAAATTGAATGAGAACAATGAAACAAGTATGATGAAAAGATGACACAGAGGAACAGATTAAGAGGGGATGTTCAATATTTGTCTAAACAATTTCCTACTTTGCTGACAGTCTTTCTTGGTTATTTTGATGTTCCCTTTATATTAGATTTGAGGTTGCCATTGTGATAAAGTTATTTGATTTGTACTTAATAGATAAAGTTATATAGGGTCAAGCCCTACTCTTACTCACTGAATCAAAGTTTCTTCTTATATTAATTGTTTACTACAAAAGCCAGTTTCAGTTTCAATTTACTGTTGTGTTTTTTTTTTTTTTATTGGACTTTTTTGCATTCTTTTCTATTGAAACTAAAATATATGGTCTAATAAGTATAACCAGTATAACCACAGAAAAAGCTTAGATATAAAGCTTTTTGTTGGAGGCCAGGTCACTTTTACAACAGGTATGCTGGGCTTAAGTCACTTTTGAGACAGCTCACAGGGTGGCCTTCATTTGCAAGGAAAAAGAAACAACTATGTGGGCATACAGTGCCACTCTCCTGAGGTAGTACCTCTGCCAGGCTCAGTTGCTCTCAGTAATTCCCAATTCCCACCATTTCACCAATGTGCCAGTGAAAAAAATCTGAATTTTAGTTGTTACTCCAGTAAGTTAAGAGCTGGTATGCTGTACATAAAGACCATTGTCAGCTCCACGATAGACTAATGCATTAGGTGAGGCTCAAGCCAACAGCCACTGTAATCATGGAGCAGGAAGCATATCCCCGTCCTGAAACCCCCCAGCACAGTCACTTGGCCACCAGCCAGCTGTGGTTAAGGCTTCCACCAACACTGTAGCATAAAGTGCTCTGAGAAGCAGGAGGTTCAAAATAATCTGAAAATATCTCTGTTCCCTCCCAAGCTTCTGCTGCCCTTCACTGTGCAGGTGCCAGTGGGCTCACACAGAATCACAGAATCATAGAATATGCTGAGTTGGAAGGGACCCATCAGGATCATCAAGTCCAACTCCCAGCCCTGTGTAGGGCACCTCAAGAATCACATCACATGCCTCAGAGCATCATCCAAATGCTTCTCAAACTCAGGCAGGCTGGGTGCTGTGGCCACTTCTCTGGGGAGCTTGTTCCAGTGCTCAACCACCCTCTGGGTGAAAAACCTTTTCCTGATATCTAACCTAAACCTCCCCTGATTCAGCTTCCTGCCATTTTCCTGAGTCCTGCAATTGGTGACAGGAGTGAAGAGGCCAGTACCTGCCCCATCTCTTCCCCTCCTGAGGAAGCCACAGACTGCAATGAGGTCACCCCTCAGCCTCCTCTTCTCCAAGCAGAATAATCCAAATGACCTCAGCTTCATCCCTTCCAGGCCCTTCACCATCCTTGTGGCTCTCCTCTGGACACTTTCCAATAGCTTGATGTCCTTTTTATATTGTGGTGCCCAAAACTGAACACAGTACTCAAGGTGAGGCCGCACCAGTGCAGAGTAGAGCGGGACAATCACCTCCCTTGACCATCTGGCAACGCTCTGCTTGATGCACCCCAGGACACAGTTGGCCCTCCTGGCTGCCAGGGCACACTGCTGGCTCACACTCACTTTGCCATCCTGGCTGGAAAGTGACCCCATGCTGTTAGCAAAAGGGATGGAAGGAGGCGGAAGAGGGGAATGCTCTTCAGCTGGTGAAGAAAAGTGAACTTCAAATGGATGCTTTGCCTTCCGATAAAAGGTACTGTCAGGTTAATCCATCACCAGCTCTTCCTCTGTGGGACAGAGGAATATAACAGGAATAAAAATGATAGAGCAAAACTTGTTCTTGCTGAATAGCTGTTAAAGAGCAACAATTTTATGGCCTGATAGCTTAAGGAAGACATTCTTTAGTCTCTAAGTCTCTGATTCTTGGTATTCACAAGTCAATAGAACCAAAATGTCAAGTACCTTAAAAAACCTGGTCTAATTTTATGTATCTACATCATTACTGAGTGACAGATTTTATCTTCTGTACTGCAAGTTGCAGAGTTTCTCTTCATTGTACTTATATGTGACTTCAAGCTACAGAATGTAATAAAAAAAACCAGCTTGCTGAAAATGTTTTGTTTATTTGGGTAATAAAGAAGTTCAGATTAGATATTTTAATTGAATATGCTTCCAGGTTTTGATATAAAAGATGTCAGGAAAAAAAAGGCTTAAAGAAACAAGTCTTCCAATGCATTTGTAAAGTTTTTTTGAGTAATTAATTTTTAATGCTTCCTGTTTATAAGACAAAAAAGATACGAGATAAACAAAATTATCTTGGCTTGTATTTTGGGAAACTATCAACCTGTCAAGTACAAGAAAAACAACTGATAGCTATAATTAATCTGTTCTCACCACTTCTGTAAGAGCAGCTGATGCAGACTCTCCATCCTAAGGATAGAAAAGACCCAATATGAAGTGCCACAAGTGCCTCTCAAATTCCTTAGATGTTTCCCTTCCTTATGTAAGGATAAACCACAAGAGCCCAGCACCAAAACAAACGGGTTTGGTAAGAAGTGTTACTTGCAAATGCAACTCAACCTTCTCCCTGCTGAAGGATGTTCCTTGCTCTATCTCTCTGCATTTTTGCTTAGCACCTTCCCTTCAAGCAACAGAGCATGAGCCCCTCCTGCATCACCGAGATCCCTCTGTAGAGCCTTCCTACCCTCAAGTGGATCAACACTCCTCAACATATGAATAAGTAGTTATGAACATATCATCAGGTATTACCATAATTAATTGAGTGCCAAGTGGATTGGCCACCTAGCATGTCCTGTGGCATGGCTACATCCCCCATCAGATGAAAAGCTGGAGAAATTGAGCTTAATTGTTCCTGAGGAACACCTCCTCCCTCTGGGGTGAATACCCCCTCCTTGCGCTGGTGGGCAACGGCCCTAACACCTTCTTTTTGCTGACACTGTGGGTGCTGTTGCTGTTTAAAATGCCTGAAATGGAAATTAAATCTTGTTCTTGGTCAGGATGTTTCACTCAACTCAAATTTCTATGTCTTCTGTTGTTACAATCAATCAGAATACTTAAAATTATATACATTGTCCAGTTATATTTTGGGACTAAGAAGTTGGGACACACAGATGCTGCTGAGAGGATGGATTTATAATCATATAACCACATAAAGACCTGGGGTTCAGCTTCAGGTCACACAGGAAAAGACATTACAACTCTTTTTAATCTTTTTACTCTATTCTGAATCTACATTTTACATAACATAAATGTGACTCCCCAGTATGTCTCCAGGTGACTCTTGCCCACCTAATTTAGTGGTAGTCATTCATATAGTCCAGGTCATTAGCATTTTCCACTAACATGTTTTCTATTTTTTTAAGAATGATTTATTTTTTTTTTTCCTAATTCAGCCTATTTTCAGATGTGGATATGCTGATAATACTTACCCATATTTGGCATAGGACATGGAACACTCTCTTGGTATGACAACATGAAGAAAATTCTTCATTTAACTAATAAATACAGTATTAGCTATATACAAATTAGAATACTTTGTAGGCAGAGCTTTGCAGCTTTGATACTCAACAATTCTGATAAGCCTTCTCCTACTGAACTTTTGCTACAAACCTGTATATGTGGAAGATCTTAAAAACAAATTAGTTACTTTATCTAGACAAGAAAAATACTGCATGCCTGTTCAAATAAAACACACAATGTAAAGAAAATGTCACAATTTTTACTTACTTTCTTTGTTTTGTCCATTGCCTTCAGTATCGTTATGTTTAAGTTTTCCAAGACAGATAGAACATTTTCATATTCTCCTAAGTGCTGGGAAAAATATTCTAAAAGAAAAAGACAACCTCACATCACCTATTCATGTCCTGAAAAATCAGTATTTAATTAAAAAACAATTTTATCAAGTCTGAATTCAGTTACGGTATTATTAGTGATCTAAATACATAGAACTAATAAGAGCTACAATGAAAGGGATTCATTTATTTTTAAATTTTGTATTATTTCCCTCAAAATCATTCCTGGGGTACTTAAAATACTAAAATCAGTGTTTTGAAACATTTTCTTTCAATAAATGAGTTGCCAAATTGACAAAAAAAATAAATAAATAAAATACCAGTTTGAGAGCTGAAAGAGACCTACTACATTTTCTTTCTAAATTGGACTTTCAGTTGAATAGCCTACTTCACAATTACTAGCAGGAAATAAAGTTTTCAGATGTATGTACTAAATCTGATTATATTGACACAAAAATGAGTAACACTGATAAAGCCCCTAGAGGAGATAAGGCCAAGTGGGCACTGTTTTGAGTTGGGGTCAGCTGAGACCAGTTGGTTCTCTCCAAGAAGAGAGACCATGAGTTGGCCAGATAAGATCCTAGCCCCAGGTACAGTGATTATATTTTCAAGAAATACAAGGCATGCAAAACACTTCTCACAAAAATCATGGAAATACTGTAAGTTGCAGGATGTTCCTGGTTAGCTGCTCAAAGCAAAGGACATTTGAACAGAAAGAGCTGATGTACTGTCAGGGGGCATAATTCAATCAAAGGGATCACAGTGAAAGGAGGAGGCAACTTTGGGAAATGAGGATCCAAATTCCCAATTTGTCAATGAGGGAAAATGCAACAGGGGGAGGCACTGGAAGGAAAACGTGAAAAAGATAGAAAATTATGCTAAAGCTGGAGACTGTTAGACAAGGCATTTACACATCAGATTACCTAGAGGGGCATGAAAAAACATCTAAATAACAGACAGCAAGAAGACTAGATAGGAGCTTTTTGAAATTATAAGTAGCAATACTTTGAGGCTTTTAAGAGGTCAGTGTGAGCTTCTCAGGGGAGTCATGAAAGCATAAGGTTTCAGGAGCACTGTGACACAAATTGGTATTGCCAAAAGGCTGAACAAAGTTACTTGGAATGAAAACATATTGTGAATTACTATCCAGGAAATGAAGCTTAATTTCTGAGGAAAACTGACATACGTCAGAAAAAGTAATATAATCACTAGCTAAAACATATGTTGAATAAAGTCTTTATGAGATTCACAGATGAGGAACACCCTATGAAACCTATGCAACCTATGAAAGATTTAAAAGGCAGCTGAAGGAGCCCATGTTTAATAAAAACAGATAGTAAATAGACCCAGTGCAGGATTGAGATGCTCCTTCAGCCCTCCTGCCAGCTGGTTCAGAGCAAATCTGTAAGTCTCCACAGCAGCAAATCTCTTGTGGAACAAACTCCCCTGTCTTCCTTGACCCATTTTATAGAATTTTGGCCAGATTTTTCCGCCAGCAGAAGTTGTCACAGCCCAATTGACTTCAGCTGAGTCTCTTGTCATGTGTTTATAAGTGACAGGCTGAGGTGCCTCTCACTTGGTTCTTGGCCATGAGTAGAGTCACTCTGTGGGTGAATAAATGAGTTAATGTTCAACTTGACAGTTTTCAGCTTTTATACATCTTCAACATTAACCACTGGGAAATTTATCAGTCTACCATTTTCTTTCCTCAGAAGCAGGATGTTTTTGACAATATATATATATATTTTTTTTTTTTTCCGCCAGCAGAAGTTGTCACAGCCCAATTGACTTCAGCTGAGTCTCTTGTCATGTGTTTATAAGTGACAGGCTGAGGTGCCTCTCACTTGGTTCTTGGCCATGGGTAGAGTCACTCTGTGGGTGAATAAATGAGTTAATGTTCAACTTGACAGTTTTCAGCTTTTATACATCTTCAACATTAACCACTGGGAAATTTATCAGTCTACCATTTTCTTTCCTCAGAAGCAGGATGTTTTTGACAATATATATATATATATATTTTTTTTTTTTTTCTTTTTTTAAGTGGGAAGACTTGCAGAAATTTTATGTGAGCTGTTTTCTGTTGCAAGCAAAACTCCTAAATCAGATGTTGCAAGATCAGCTCGAGAGCAAGCAGGGTTTGGGGGAAATGACTCACAGCTGAGAATGGAGCACAGCAATGTGTTACTGGGGCAAATTCTAGGCCTTGCATGAGGTTTTTTTTTGTGATGAAGGATGACAGAACTTGCCAAACTGCTGTTCTCACTGGCTCAAGTTGGAGAAAAATAATGAGCTTTCTTCTAGTGAGGTATTAATATGACAATCGTCTCTTTCAAAATTGCCACAGCACTCATATCTCTCAGTGATTAATTAACTAGAAAAAAAGATTTCACATGAAAGGGATATAAGATAAAAGGTGTATGTCTGTCTATCTATCTTTACATCAGAACAGATCTTGAAAGTCAGAGGTCAAAATAATTTCTGCATGACAATCTAAAGACTATAAGCCATCTGCATTCTCCGGGAGTTTTCTGTTTGAGCTACAAAGATTAAACAGAAGAAAAATCCTATCACATGGTATGCTCAGTTGCATAGGGCTGCTGCAGGCACAGATTATCTCCTCACCAAAAAAAAGGAACTTACTGCAGACTTCTTCTGTGTCAAGATTGCTGGAAAGAGAAGAAGACAGAAGGTTAGTGAGCTTATTAATGTTTGTTGTAGGATTGGTAAATAGCAGGGCTCATTATTAGCCTGCCTGGGCTGTAGGAGGAGATGAGAGCGACTGGCCCTTGCTGGCCTTGCTCTGCTGCTTTAGGGAGGCTTATCCTAAGGCTGTAGCTGAAGGCTGTAGCTGAGCTGTAGCTGGCTGCAGGCACAGCCTCTCTTCTTGATAATGTTCCCACCTTTCTACTCACTGCCACCCCCCTTTGAAGTTACTCGCTCAACCTTTGGACATCATGGTGGAGAGTTGCTGCTCCTCAGGCTTTACACACATGGTTCTAGTGCTGGCAGAAATCCATCTAAACATCCAAAATTGTTTTTTTACACCTTTCTGCCTATACTCCTCTTATATGGCTGTCATGCTGGGCAGCATGGCTCAGTGAGCTAAAATAGGGGAAAACCCAACAGATTGTTCTTGTTTGCAGTCTTCACCAGGCAGTAATGCTGCACAGGAGAGGCAGTACAGCAGGAGGATAGAACCCATCAGCACACATAGTTTCTAAGTCTTTCTGGCCATACAAAACTGTTTCACCAGTACTAACTTCAACAAAATTAGTGATGTGAAGGAAATAGCTCTATTGCCATATTCCCATACAAATACAACACTATATGAAAGCATTCCGTACAGTTCAAACCGGTTCATTTCAAACAGACTTCGTCTTGGTCAATTTTTAAGCAATATTTTCTCTCTAAGGCTTTAATAGTTAAAAGAGAAACCATTTGACCTACAGCTCAATTCTGGAAGTTAACATATTGGCTTTCTTCCAAGGAGGAAAAGAAACTGATTATTAAGGAAACTTAAAAGCATGAATGTCCTTTTTGAATCTCGCTGAGGGGTGAATATTGAGTGGCTGAATGCACGTAGGATTTTTTCACTTATCTTTTTAATGGGCTTTTTTATTGACCTTTTAATAAAATGATGACACAGTATTATCTTAAAGTCACTTTCACCAATGCTGGCTTCTATTCATCTGGCTTTTATATAATGAGAGTGAGAAACAGGCAGAAATTGCAAGATCCTGGGTTGTCACAAACTTGCACTCTTAGGGCTATAAAAATTCCTGAACACTTTTAATTGAATATTTAAATGATATTTTCTCACAACTTTTATTAACTACAGGTGACCTGATCTATATTTAAATAGGCCAAATGGATGGCTGCAAATGGGTGGCAAATATGATTATAATTCATGGTAAGAATCAGTGCTGAAACTGAGAAACTTAAATGTTAGGTCAATGTATGTTCATTTCTCAAATGCAAACTGAAACCCTGAAAGCTGGAAAGTTGCCTGAGTCAAAAAGCAGTGACAGAATATGATGATGTTAAATGACAGGGTTTTACTGTTATGATGCCTACTCTTTGTTCATTGTCCCTGCGTTTTTTGCCCTTTCACATCACCTGCCCTAATGCCTTCTCTTTGTCAAAGACATTTCTTGCATTTCTCAATGTACAGCTTGATAACTGTGTTTAAAGCAGCCTTTCACATTGTTAGCTAGGCAAATTCCTGCTCTCTTTTCAAACTTCATGTTAAAATTTCACGTTAAAATCCATTCTGGTCCTTGTTCTGCAGTATCCTCAGCTGTGTGGTAGTGATATAGGAAGGGAGGCTTTCAGTGCTGCTGTCCTCAGAACATTGCTCCTAGTCCTATTCACAGAAGCAATGCAGCTGCAAATGGACTAGAAGTTAAAATGGAAATGGAATGGTGCTGAATTGATTTTCAGTTAGAATTGAGCAGCTGAATAATGAGATAATTATTGTCCAAAGTTATTTGTGCAGCAGCTTTCATGAAGCATGACATAAAGAGCATGATTTCAGTCTAACATACTCACAGTATTTCCTTCTCTATTATAAGTACCCTCTGAGGCTCCTTTGTTCTTGGCATCCTATTTGAAGGGGATCATGCTATTCTAGCCAGGGAAACTATAATGTTGTGTCACTGATTATTTAATTCTCTTACAAATAATAACATGCTGCTTCAAATACAGTAATGAACAAACCTAGGAAATCTCTTCCTGTATACAATGTTGAGCTCCTAGCAGGATGCTACAGAAACAATTAAAGAAGTTTGAAATATATTTAATAGTACAGGAGTGAGGTGTACCAGAGGGCTGTTTCTGTAACTCAGTACTCAGGCTTATAGTGAGCCTATCATCATTTCAGTGGGTACATATGTCAAGGATGCTTCTGCTTAGACCTATAATCTAGCAACGCCAAACGTGTGATTTGCAGTATTTGCTGGATGACTCACATCCAGGCACTAACATTCCACTCCTGATAAGCAGCCAAAGAGCAGGGTGCAGCCAAACACTTTCACGTCATGTTAGCATGATAATTTTTTTAACTTCTGCTCTCAATTTGTATTTGACTACTAACTGCAGTCCTTTTGCACACCTGACTTTGAGCCAACAATGCTACCTAGTACCATGATCTTTTTTAAAGAACTATTGCAAATATTCCACTGAGCAGTCCTGATCACTGCAAAGTTGCTCATACCTGTTGCTCAGTGACAGAAACATACACAAATTCCCCTAAATTAACTGTGGCAAAAGCGCCTATTTGTGGTACCTCTGGAAGTGGCCCAAAATGCAGGAGTCCAAGGCAGCTGTTGTTCTGATCATGCTCCTGCTTTGCACGCCACAGTCAGCTGTGGCCTGGGGACAGCCAGGAAGGCGTGGAGGTTAAAGCTATTCCACCCATCTGCTGGTGCAGATCCACTGATCCACAGCCCCACCCACTGATCTGACACATACCGTTCTCTGGGACAAAAGGCACCTCTGGACAAAGGTACCAGCAGAAGATCTGCATCTACTCTCTGGACCACAAAAAGAGGCAATGACAGAAATTATATCTAAAGTATGGACCCTGCCATCTAAAGCAGCTATTTTATTGAAGAATCCAATGCTATATGAAAGACTTCATCAGATATCTTAATTTAGGAAATTCATTGCTGTGACTATCAGAGCTGGAGAGGTATAACATGTCATTCTTCAGATCTCTCTTCATTCTCATATATGAGGATTTATTTCATAGGCTTGAGCCAGCTCTTTTGCATCCTTTTTGCATGTCTCTTTGCTAAATTTGTTTTTAGGGAGGAAAGTTTGAAGCTGGTATCTCCTGTTGTTAAGTAGAAGCATATAATTTGTTACTGAAAGTAATTAAGTCTTACTTAGACTGTGCAAGGGCAACTGCACGGTCATCCATGGACAATCTCTGCCAAAAAGCTGTAAGCTCTCTGTGGCAAGGAAGCCTGCATACCATCCCACTTCAAATCAGTGAAATGAGGTTGAGTGCTCCCGCACTCCAGAAGGTCTTGTGTAAAGAAGTCTTGTATGTGCACTTCCATTTTAAGGGTATTCTGCTTCATTGACCCTTTGCAACAGCAAAGACCTTTTACCTCAGATTGGTTCAAGGTTTCTTATCAGTGGTGGCAGAACTGGCTTTTGCAATTAGTAGGATGAGGTGCTGGGACTAGCCCAGGCATTGGCTTCTTGCCACAGAATAGGGAAAGGAGGAAGAAGGGGCAAAAATGGGACAGAGCTCTGGACCCCTGTCCCTGGGGAGCCCTGAGAACTTTGCTGCTCTTCAGCCCCAGGGCTAGCTGGACTGTGCACCCTCTGGACTTTCAGATGCAGCAGCCAATGTGGCTGGTTGTTTAGGTGCTGACACAGGCAGTGAGGTCACAGCTCTTTCAATATCCCAAATTTTGCCTCACTATATAATTGCCAGTTTGCTTATCCTTGGCTTCAGACAAGTAATAACTGCAGAACTGTCACTTACTGCTCTGCATGTGGCAGCACAAGAAGAGATAATGGAGTTGTTCTTTTTGTTTTTTTCCTCACTAACAACAGATCTGAAATAATAAAAAAGACCTTTGCATTAGCCACCTTAATCATTCCAGTTATAACAGTCTTTGTGTTGCCAAGAGTCTTAATAACCCTATTAAAAGCTGTGGTGCATGCTAAAATCTACAGAGAACTGCACAAGGGCTGCAGACCTATCACTTTTTCAGTTGAGTCTGAATCACACCAACCTAAACAAGGAGAGGCAACATCATGATGCTTCTTTTGCCACATGAAGCAAATTTCTGGGTTTTCACCCCACAGAAGTTGATAATGTTTCAACTTCTAGTTTTGACCCCAAATGATTTATTTTTTTTTCATAAACTGAGATTAAATTATTTATTCTTACACAAAATAAGATGTTTACTTTGGTTTATTAAACTTCTTGGAAAAGCACATGTTGACAGAGATTTCAAAACTCCTGTGGTTCTCTGGGAAACCCAGATTGTGGAAGGGACTAGGCCCCCAGACCACACCTGCCACTAAGCAATGAGCTCACTGCTAGGAAGCCAATGTTATTTTCTGAAGAACTGAACCGAAATGAAACATTCAAGGTCAGCTGCATTTAGGTCAATGCAACTGAAACTACTCATTACCATTTCATTTTCCCAGTGTGAGTGATTCTCATTTTTTCTACAGAAAGCTGAATTTCCCATTAAAAATCACCATTCGTATGGAAAATTTCCAAGCAACTCTATTTGCAGCTTGTCTGTCTGACCAGAGGATCTGTTAGCATCAGAACTGTGTAAATCATTCTCAGTGAACTTGTTTTGTTTAGTCATGAAATATGAAGCTGTATGATCATCTCATTGTGACCGTCATCTTACCTTTATACTCGTACTACTTTTCTAGTCTGATCACTGTAGCTATTGTATTGAAAACAAGAAAGGCTAAGGCCCACTGGGAATTATATCTAGCAAGGGATGTCAAAGAAAACAAGAAGGGCTTCTTCAGTCAGTCGGAGAAGGACCTGAAGGAGCCTGTCTGTATCTCATGCTGTTTTTTAATAAATTATTTATTTTACTTCATTGCAGTTAGAAGTTATATTTTTTTTTTCCTGTGTACTTGTATTGAACCATGATAAATCAGCAATAGCATGAGACTAAAA